GGCCCCTGCAGCTGTTCGTCGTGCTTCCAAGAGATGTTGAAGTAAATGAGGTTTGGGCGTTCGGATCAGATCGCTTATTCCAGCATCTTCGCTAGATTCAGCGACCAGTTGCTCTTGGGTCGTTGTGGCAACGATATTTCAAGTAGTAAGTGGTGCGGGTGTGTGATGTCACCGGTATCGGTTTCAGACGCCGCGGTTGTAGTGTGCGGTTGGGGAGAGCGATCCGTTCCGATCTGGCAGTTTCGCTAGGTCCTAAGAGAATGATACTTGCTAGAAAAGCTTCATCGGGAACCGCTCCATCGTCATAGTTGACTTCGGTGGCATCGAAGAAGCTCGATGTTGTGCCATCAGCCATTGTCGGGACTCCTGGGTTGCGTCATGACGTTTTTGCAGAAAACAGAACCTAAACAGCCCTTCTAGCCTGCTGGGAATACGCTTATCTCCATTGATGTTGAAGACGTTGTTATCAACCTGTTGCTATGACACAAGAAGCTGTTTACCCGAGCGAGGGTCTGTTCAGTTGTAGAGTCAATCTATGACTGGGTTAGCATCGGGAACGATACCACTGAGAAGCCGCGCTACCATGTTGGCTCACAGATTATCGGATGTCAAGCGTCAGTAAGCGGTTCATGATAGCATCCAGCTCATAGCTTCGATTGTCTTCCGGACACTTGTGACAGCACACTATCATTGCAGCCACCGGGTACACAGTGTCGTAGAGTCAATGGAACCTAGAGAGTTACTGGTCAGGAGACCGGTTTCGGAGTAGCCAGTATTCTGGGCATAATGGTATATCCCTTCATCTTTGAACAAACTGCCTGCCAAATCCACTTCCCGAGTAATAGTCCTTCTAAATCGCTATATACCTTTGCGTAAACGCCGTAGTCGTCGTTAGCTTCACGGTCGTCTCCGCACCGTGCGTGTCTGTCTGCAGCGCGGTCACTTGAGTTTGTAGTAGGTTTCAAACACTACGAAGGAAGCTGGCGCTTCCTGGCAAACCAAAGCTCTGTTGTTGGTTCTAGGTTAGTTTCTAAGTGATCTCAGCGGCCATTCGGTTGGCCTCGGTGGTTACTTAATCTACATCCTATTGTTCTTATCTGCTGCCAGCTTGGCGCTGTCCGCCCGTCGACATCGCCCGGTGAATGGGCTAGGCTTGCTCTGTTCGCCCACCACTACACCGCCCACCCAAGCTTTGCCCAGTCTGTCGGGTTCTTGAGATTGACGACAATATGAAATGTCGAGAATATAATTTATTGAAAATGAGTTGTCGAAAATAGGTGTCACAAATACCAGATGTCGAAAATAGTCTGTCCAAATCGGTCTGTCGAAAATTCCAGTTGGTGACGCACAGGTGGCATCGCAGACTCAGACTCAGATCTGTGGAGATGGCTACATAATCTTCAA